AAAACCACTTGAATATGAAAAGCATTTAGAAAAGTTTAGAAACTACTCAAAAATGGTATATGCAACATTGAACTTTAAATGTTGACTGGACTAATTATTAGTAGATATTTTTAAAAAATTCATAAAAATTTACAACGATTTGTTCTTCTATACCAAATAAATACATCACATGATAAATTTGAAGTTAAAAAAAGTAACGAATAAGAAAATACAAAGAAAAACATTATATATGAATTGAAAATCAATGTACCTGATAGAGATAGGCTGTTGTGATACCAGAATAGTACTTGTTAAATTTTGTTATTTCATGATAAACAAAATGTATTTATGGCAAAATGATGTCTTAAATCACTTTTAGTAAATAAATAAAAGCAGTGAGTTCTATCAATTAAACTACCTATTAATCATTTTTAACAACAGACACCAACATAAAGATTAGCCTAAGGTAACAATATTACGCAAAAAATTATCAAAGATAATGTTATGTATTTTCAGAATAGTTATATTGAAGGCTAAACAACACTTAGACCTAAAGCAGTAACACTGCTTGACTGGTAACATTGACAAATCTTGCTCTACACGTTTGCCAAGTCACACCACTTTGAAATCATGGAAACCACATATAAATATATATACTAACTATAAAACACAATATATTTTTTTAATGTTATATAACAGATAAAAACACCTCATTTAACAATCATATACACATAGATAAAATACATTTCATACTATTATAAAAACACATTTATATAAATACATTTATAAAACAACTATATAACATATATCACCACATAGACATATTTATCAAAAACTTTTTAACTTTGAGCATAATATAAACATATATGCAAACTATAAACATATAAAACTTGAATTGGGCAAAAAAAAAAATTTAAAAAGATTCATATATATTTATATATAAAGATGTTGAAATGGCTTTTATCCCAATTATTAAAAGCATGTGAAAGCATGAAACTACCCATAAATAACTTATAACGCTAGACGCTATCTAAGAGATATAGTAATCTACATTTTCAATATTTACATCTATAACACGAAGCTTTAAATTTAACAGTACAATTTAAAAAAAGATTACAATAAATTAGTTACTGAAAAAAATTTTATAAAGATTATATATTACCTATATTTTTAAACTACTAAACATTATCTACTTAATGTCTACTTAAACATTGTGAACATTTTCATCTGTTTAACAACTGAATTAGGATTAATCACAACTCTGGAAACATAAATTTTCTTTTAATCTAAATCTAAACAATTAAACAAATTATAAATAGAAATGCAAGGAAATGCTTACTGCTAGTATTTTTAGTATCTAATTAACTAAACATAATAAATACAAATAAAAATGTAAGCAAATGTTTACTGCAAATATTAAGAAATAAATTAACAAACATACAATATCAAATAAGTATTTATGAACAAAATTCATTTATATCCAATAAGTTATATTAAATAAAATATTTATTGAAAAGCCATAAATGTTTGCGTGAAACCAGTCAATAAATAAAACAAATAGTAAATAAAATGAAAAATCGTTAGGGCATCAACACACAGCAAATCTGATACAAACGTTTAAAAGTAAATACAGCTTAATCTCCTTATTAAAATTCAACCTTTCTTAAATATAAAAGCTGACACAACAATCAGCTTGCCTTGTGAATTTTTAAAAGTAGATTGGAAACTGTTTGCGCTAGATTATTTTACAAAATACAGAACCGTTACTAATATCGAACAATAGTAACTAACGGCATTCAACATTAATAACTGGACTATTCATATTTAAGATAACAATGCATGTTAACGGCAGAGGGTCAAATACATATTTGTATTTGTATTTGGTAAAAATGGACTGTTTTGGTGTATTTGTATTTGTATTGTATTTGATATAAATAAATTTTTTTTAAATTTGTGTTTGTATTTAGTTAAAATGTATTTGCAGTTTCATAAACTAAATTACATAAATCTTGAATATTCCTTCGTAAAAAAAACTTCCTTAAATTTAGTTATAAAATAAAACAGCTTTTTATTTTATAACTACTAATTAACTTGTAGAAGTAACAACTTAACTTGTAGTAAAGTGTAATTACCAAAGTCTTTTGAAGAAAAAAAATATTTTTTTATTCATTAAATGAGGTTTTTTTTGGACTTAATGTTTTAGTTACTACTTATAAAAACAATGATTTTAAACACTTTGCATTTTAGTACAAATATTTTTATATTTGTTTTAACTTTAATTTTGATTAATTTAAGTTTGATTTAAACGGTTATTAGTTAAATATTTTTACTTTAATATTAATTTTCTACTTAGTTCAGTTATATGTTTTATTCAAGTCACTCGTTTTTTATTTAGTTTAAACTTTAAATTAGTTTATACGCTTTAGTAAAATTATCCTTTTAGTATCTAGTTTATATTTAGTTTTATATTTAGTTTAGTATGTTTTACTGTAAATATTTGTTATATATTAAATTTTTATAA